ATTTCTCGTCTCCCCCTTTCCCATTTTAAAGCATGATATCTCTATATTTTGTATATTTCGAATCTCAGCATCAATAGGAAAATAAACGGTATCTCCTTGAATGTGTGAAAATGAAAGATAAACCTTGACCATTACGACCGAGAGCTGCAGCCAGATGGAATTCAATACGCCGCTCAAATTCATCCTGATTGCCATTTGGAGGGGCAGAGTTGATTCTCATGTTCTTCACACTGAGTCTCTTTGGAAATGGTGGAAACTACAAGTACACAATTGCATATTCAATAATCAGCGGATCAATATATGAAACTATATGAACAAACTCACATAGAGACAACATAATCAGTGATCAGCGGATCTATAAATGAAACTATATGCACAAACTCACATAGACACAGATTAAGAAATGATTGATCAAAGTATGGACAACGTTATGGTAGAGATATAGTCACATAATCAATGAATTTATCAATAATGAAACTGTTGAACCAGAAAATCACTACTAAGTATTTGATTAACAGTTGTGGGTTTCGGAAAATAAGATTTTTATTAATAGCTGTAAAGCGAAGCGATTACAAGAGATGTCTTAACTAAGAGGTTATGCCGAGATAAAAAGAAAGTGTTTGCGAAGTAAACTAGAAAGCGTTGGAGTTCCTGATTTTAGCTCTGCTGCTCTCTAGATTGTATGAGTTGTCCTTCTTAGCTTCGAGGTCCTCTTTATTTATAGGGATAGGAGGTCGGTTGCTCCGAACTCCTTTTCCTTTTTGCCTTCGGTAGATATTTCCATATGTGCGATATGGAAAAATCTCTTATTCTCCGAGAAATATGGAAATTTTCTTTTATCCTTCGAGCTGATCTGATGTTTCCGACCTTCAATGGTTATCTTCAGAATATTTTTTTTAGTCCGAGCTAGGTCGGCGCGGTCTTCATGATCCTTATGGGCTTAGGTTATTGTTAGAGAAATCCTTTTAGGAAATATGCTCATTTCCCCTCTAACAGAAAGCTCCCCCCCCCCCCCCCCCCCCCCCCCCCTCCCCCCCAGTTCGGCGAGACTGATTGTAAATCAGGTCGGCAGACTTCATGAAGTTATAAATGGGTTTGATCTCGTAATAAGTGTTAGCTCGTCAAGAGCGTTGTTTCGCTATGGCCAGCTCGGCCCGATTTTAAGTGGATTTGGCGTGTGGCATTTTTTCAAGATTTTAATTATTGAATATTCCGACCCAATTTTAGGGTCTTGCTTCCAAGCGGGAAAGGCGAAGGGTTCGCCAAGCGGCGAGATTGCACGAATCTTGACACGCGTCATTTTAGGAAACTGTTGATATTTCTTTTTGATTTTATTGCTTTACTTCTTCGTCTTCTTGCTCCAGATATCTCTTGACTTTCTTCTGTTTTGTGGTAATTTTTCTTTCTTTTCCGCCGATCTTCCGTTTGTTCTTTTAATTCATTCAAAAAATTTCAAAAATGTTCGCTTCGTCTTCGAACTCTTCTTTTGATGATGACAAGATTTGTCTCGCCAACCGTGCCAGGCGAGCCTGGATTAGCCCAGTTGCTTCTTCTTCTTCTAACTCAGAGGGGTCCTCGGGTTATCGGGATAAGATTCCATCGGATCATCCTGACGCGGACTCCGAAATGGACTTGGATGGTCCCGGGCCAGCGAGCTTCGAGTCAGAGAGCAGAATCGAAGGTCTTCCGCAGAAGGTCGCAATGTTGAAGCATAGGACCGGCATTAAAGACGGGAGGACCTGGATGACTGTGGAAAGGCTCCAGGAGCTTCGCTCGAAGTGCCGTTTTCCCGAGGGGGTCGAGCTTCTACTTTCCCAGGTTCACGAGAGAGTGACCACACCCCCAGAAGGCTATTTCTGTTCTTACGAGTGCCACTTCGCGGAGTTTGGCCTTCAGTTCCCGATTTTGCTGCTTATCTGTTACTGTGAACGGAGGAAGATGCCGGTGGTGCAGATTTCTCATGCTGTAATTCGTCACTTCAACAGCCTGGCGGCAGTAGCTCGTGCAGCAAGGGTTCCTTTTAATTGGGATATCTTCGAAAGGATATCCGTTCTGAAGAAAAGAAGGATGAACCGCGGTGGATGGCGCCATTTTTAATCTGCGATAAAGGAGGGAATCATCGGCGGGGACCCGACGAGTAAGGTTCATGAATGGGATCTGTTTTTCTTCTTCGTGAAGATTAACGAAGCATCCATCGGTGGTTCCGACCTTACCTTATTCAAGACTTGGAGATCGACGCCATGTAAGGCGAACCGAATTTTCTTTACCCCATTTTTTTGCTACTCCCCGGATGCTAATGTGTTTTTGTTATGGTAGTGGCAATACATCTTGGAGATGACCCGATCGGGTTTAACGACGATGTTAAGAGGCTGCACAATTTGAGCCGGCAGCTGTGGGCCGAGAAGGAGAAAAAGGGGACTGTTAAAAAGAAAGCAGCCAAACCTGCCGAGAAGAAGGTCAAACCTCCAAAACCATGTAAACTACTAGATTGAAGCAATTTTTAATTAGTGCTTGGTGACGAGGTCTTATTGACGTGTTTATTTTTCAGCTCCTCGAAGGGCTTCGCAGCCGAAACCCGCAGGGGCTGGCCGGAAGAAGAGGAAGGCGGTTTTGCCGGGTGCCGCAGATGCTCCTGCGAGTTCTTCTGTAAAGAAGAAGAAGATGACTTCCCAGGATCCACCTAGCTTGGTGGATTCCTATGACGCCGAAGTGGCTGCTGAGAACGAGACTCTTGCGAGGTAAATTCTTTTTCTGGCTTCGCGTGTATCATGCCGAGGAGATGTTTTGATTTTATATTGCTATTGTTTTTTTTTAAGTTTCTCCAGGGCGGCGGCGCTAGAGAGACTGAGGCAGGCACGGACTGAGAGAGCCGCGAGGGATTCTCAGGGTGAACCGTCCCAAACTCCTACTTCTCGAGTCATAGATGGTGGTGACGGGGTTGCTTTTGATGCCGCCGGGAGCCGCCGCGAGGCTGTTTCCTCCCCACCTCAAGTTTCTATTCCTTCGGCGCCTCGGGCCGGTGTTCCTTTGTCACCTCAAGCGGACATTCATTCACCGCCTCAGACAGATGTGCCTCGAAGCCCTGAGACACATGTTGCAGAAGACGTAGGTCGGGAAAGGACCGAGGAGCCCGCCGCGGCTCGTTCTGAAGGGCTGTCCCCTCCTGAAGTTGCTCCGGATACAGAAGATGCTGGTCCTAGCGCTGTTGAACCAGAAAATCACCACTAAGGATTTGATTTAACAGTTGTGGGTTTCGGAGAATAAGATCTTTTATTAATAGCTGTAAAGCGAAGCGATTACAAGAGATGGCTTAACTAAGAGGTTATGCCGAGATGAAAAGAAAGTGTTTGCGAAGTAAACTAGAAAGCGTTGGAGTTCCTGATTTTAGCTCTGTTGCTCTCTAGATTGTAGGAGTTATCCTTCTTAGCTTCGAAGTCTTCTTTATTTATAGGGATAGGAGGTCGGTTGCTCCGAACTCCTTTTCCTTTTTGCCTTCGGTGGATATTTCCATATTTTTGATATGGAAAAATTCTTTATTCTCCGAAAAATATGGAAATTTCCTTTTATCCTTCGAGCTGATCCGATGTTTCCGACCTTTAATGATTATCTTCAGAATATTTCCTTTAGTCCGAGCTAGGTCGGCGCGGTCTTCATGATCCTGATGGACTTAGGTTATTGTTAGAAAAAGCCTTTTAGGAAATGTGCTCATTTCCCCTATAACAGAAACAATATTCACAACACTCACATAGAGAAAAGATTGATCAGTGTATTATACCTCGTAGGCAACCTTATGGTGGAGATAAGGGATTAAGGGGTTGTGAAAATCCAAAATAGTCATGTAAGAATTCAAGCTACACTTAATAGAAATAATAAAAAATTTATGGGTTTAAAAGAATCTCAAATCAGAACTTAAATATAACATGGAAATTAGGTTATCATAAGAACAAACTAATCAAATTTTTTTTGTAAAAAGACTGCTTATGTAGGTTTGGGAAGTGATCAAGCCATTCATTATTCATTTACAAAAGAATTAGATGTTTGTAATATTGAGAGAGTTCACTCTTCTATGAAAGTGGTGGATTCTCAGATTTTGGATCTTTTTATTTTCGGTGATTTGCATATTGAAGCTAAATTGGTTTATTTCATTCTTTTTTTTTTTTTTTTTTCTGGATGTTTCCCTTTTCTCTAAAATTGTTTTTTTAAACGAGATGTTAGAGTTTTGTTAATTAATCAGATGAGCTGATCTTGATTTGTAGCTAACAAGTCCCATGCATAAGACATACATAAGAGATACCTTAAGATACTCGATTTGACTAAGAACACCCCTATGATGGTTGAAAAAACTACATTATTAATGAGCTCCTGTATCCAAAGATCTAAATCCAAAAAAAATAATATTTTTAAGTTTCAAAACAGTTCAAGCTGTCTGGTGACAGTTATATGTAAACTATAAAACTATGATCAATATATATTTCTTATTATTTTATAATTTTGATATGTAAATCAAATTATAATAAAACGGTTAACTTCACAAGTTTTAAATTACTTTTTACCAACATCATGATTGTAACATTTTCTTCTTTTGTTTTACTTTATGTTCTATATATAGTGATATGTCGGATTTGTCATGATTTTGTATAATCGACACAAAACATTAAGATAAAGTTGGTGATGACATGTGAAATTCAAATGGTGGTTATAGGTTTAGGATTTTTGGTATTGTCTTAAGAAAAATTGGAGAAAATGTCACGTTCCTCCTCATAAATCCCAAAGAGAATAAACCAAACCTAGAAAATATTATAGCTATGTAATATTGTTTGAACTCACATGCATAAAAAATATAAGAGCTATTTGTTTGTTCGTCTAGATGAAAATGTGAGTTTTATTTGTTTTGTAACAAAATCAAAAATCATTTAGATAATTTTTCTAGATGAATTTAAAAAAATAAGGTAAAATTTTCAAACTCATTTGGATGAACCATTCGGCTCAGCTACATGAAAATGGTCCAGTTGAAAATAATAAAAGTCGAAAATATCCTTAACTAAAACTAAAATTACAGAAAATCTAGATGTAAAATCGAAAAAAATCTCTACTCTTATCTTCATTCTCTCTGATGCTGATTTCTTCTTTTTCACTTTCTCCAACACCAATTTTTCTCTCACTCTCTTCGATACCGTGCTCTCTCTCCCATGAGTTCCGACTTCTCTCGCAAGCTTTGGCGAGTCTCTTACACAGGTGCGCTTCTCTCTCTCTCTTTTCTTCGGTGTTTTTTTGGATTTTGCTCACCATTGTCTCTTTGTTTGGAAAATCGAATTGATGGTTTTGGTTTAGAATTTGAAGTTTTCTTATCATTGCGTCTCTGGGTTTTTTTTTGCTTTAATCTGATTACAATTTTGTGAAGACAAACCTATTTAAATGCAAATTTGAATCTTAATTTATAAATCTATATGAATTTATGTGAGTAAAATTAATTTATAAATATTAAAAATAACAATCTGGAAATTATTTGGTTAATAAATATATTTTTAATCAATATTTAAAATTAATATCACTAAGATTAAAAAAAAATATAATTAAATGAAAGTATGTGTATTATAAGTAATTTTTAATAAAATTATCTTGATAAAAATATAAATTAATAAAACAAACATATTTACATTCAAATGAATCATCTAAATAAAAATGAAAAATAGAATAATATTAAATAAACATCATCTGAATGGAGTATCTGGATGGGCCATATTTCATATGAATAAATCATAAATGAACATGACCATATAAAAAAAAAGTATTTACCAATAAATTATGAGTATTCTTAAAATTGGTTTTGATGGTGCCGTTTTCCACAATTATGCACAATGTCACTATTAAAGGAAAGTTGGTAAATCTAATGGTGTCATTCAAGCAATAAAATATTATAATACTTCTCATGAACAAATACACATCCAAAGATAAGCAGCACTACAAATACCACATATTTGTTTTATCTAAACCAATAGATTTTTGAATTAGGGTTGGAAAACCATTTGAGTATTGGGATTTGATTTTTGCCCTACTTTTTAATATTTGTTTGTTTATCGGATTACAGAAAAGGATGTTAATACTCTTTCTATATATATAAACGTTACTAGCAATCATCTCTGCAGCAATCAATTGGACTGTGGCATCAACGAGAGGCTTATCGGTTTAGGTTTATCAGTTTGGCTTATGGCTCGGCTTAGTGTTGAAAAGAAAGTATACTCTCTCAAGTACATATTAGCTCTTCATCTCTTGGTGGATCTTTATGACAGGACATATATAAATGAGAATTTAGAAATTTCGCTCATTTGAAGAAGTTTTTTAAAGAAATTGGTGTGGTTTTGAAGAAAAATTGATTGATCCGTTCTTTAAAATGAAAAAGAAAAAAGTTTCATGATAAATCAAAGATTCTTACACCAATTCTATACATCGACAAATATCTCTGGGAAGTGGTGTGTATAGAACTGATGTAAGATTCTTTGATTTATCTTAAAACTTTTTTTGGTAAAGTTCTCACAGTACAACAACTCTGTTTTTACAGTACCCATTGGTAAAACAAGTTCATAAGAACATCTTTAATCCTATTTTATTTTTCATTCTATATACTATTTTAGAATAAATTTATTCTATTCCAAAATAGGGTAAACCTAATTTATCTACCATATGTAGAATAAACCTAAAATCTACTTCATTTTAGAATTGAACTTTATTTATTTGTAAACTGATCATTTAAATATTACATAATTTTATTGTATACTATTTAATATTTGTAGACATTATAAAACAGAAAATTATAAATATTTAAAAACTACAATTATTATTAAAAAATATTGCAAAATAAAATGGCTGACTTTTGACTTATCGCCTTATGCAACGTCTTTTACAAGATTATATCAAAGATCTTGATAAACAGACTGAACTATACCTAACATCTCTGATCTCTGATAACCAAGCTGCTTTTATACCAGAAAGAGTTATCACAAACAACATCGTCATAGCTCACAAAATTTATCACAGACTAAAAGTAAAGAAAATGCAATCTTTATTCTATATGGCGTTTAAAACAGACATAACCAAAGCTTAGACTGCATGGAGTGGACATTTCTAGCCGAAACACTATTAAAATTTGGATTCACAGAGAAATAGATTAAGTGGATCATGACTTGTGTTTCAAGCGTCAGTTATTCAGTGTTGATTAATGGCTCTGCATAAGGATTTATACAATCACAAAGAGGATTACGTCAAGGGGATCCACTCTCTCCTTAACTTTTTATACTTTTTTGCAGAAGTTCTATCTTATTTAATGAATAGAGCTACAACATAAAGATGTCTACAGGGCATCAAAATCAGTAACAGATCCCAGCGGTTAGTCATCTCCTATTCATGGACGACTTACTATGTTTGAAACTCATTGTTGTACGGTAGAGATTTACTCATTCAATGTCTAACCTTTATAATTGGTAAAGGTAATCTAACAAAGACATGGAGAGACTCGTGGTTAAATGTAAATCCCACAAGACCACCATGCCCTCGACAACAACCACAACCTGATATGGAGAGTACGGTGAGTTCACTCCTCAACAATACAGGCACAGGATGGGATGAATCAAAAGTTCGAGAACTAGTGGACGAGGAGGATGTAAACAATGTTTTGCGTATTCATATATCAGCTAAAGAAGAACACGATCTTCTAGGATGGACTTACAATGAAACTGGCATTTATATGGTAAAATCAGGGTATTGGTTGGCAATACATCTACTAAACTCAATCCCAGTACAACCCCCACAAGGTAATTACAGCTTCAAAGAACTATTTGGAAATGCAAAATTCCATTAAAACTCAAGCATTTTTTTTGGAGACTCTCTTCGAAATCATTAGCTACTGGAAGTAATCTTTGGCGAAGACACATTCAGCAAAATGCACTATGCAAACGATGTTGGCTTGAAGAAGAATCAGACCAACATTTGTTCTTTGATTGTCCATATGATCAATCAATATGAAGAGCTGTTGGATTATGAATAATATCACAACAACCATAGACATACAACTACAACAGTGTTGCCCCACTAGTGTAATCCATTGGGAACACTTTGGTGAACTGCCAATTTGGATATTATGTGGAAGAGCCGAAATCAACTTCTTTTTCAGAATAACTCTATACACTGGCCAAAGGTAATCCAGTATGCGAAAAGGAATTATAGCGGATGGAAAGAGATGGCAAATCAACTACACTTAACAAGCATGATCAGTAATCATGCTACATTATCTCGACAATAACAAAGCCAACCACACGCAAATAGGCAAGGTAATAATCATAAGTGGAAGAGACCAGAAAGCACTTGGATCAAATATAATTATGACGGATCATTCTACAATGAACACATGGAAGCACAAGCCGGATGGGTTTTCCGGGATGAAAACGGAAACTTTCAAGGTGCAGGACAATTAAGAAGAAAACAACCACTTAACGGATTTGAAGGCGAATTACAAGCACTATTAGCGGCCATGCAACACTGCTGGAGTAAAAGATACTCAAAAATCACCTTCGAAAGGGACTGTTAAAAAAATTGTAGATATTATCAATGGAAAAGTAATAAACTTTTATTCACACAATTGGTTACACGATATAAGATGGTGGGTAAAACAATTTACATAAGTCAAATTTCAATGGATGGCGAGAGAATCCAATACAGCTGTTTCATAATTCGATCCCATTATGTATTAACAATATGTTTTATTACGATATTGTAAACTCAACTTAATATTTAATATTGATAATATAAGATGATAAAAAGAAAAAAAGATTGCAAAATAAAATAAATTTAAAAAATACATAAGAGGTGCTGAAATTAAGTAAGCAACAAATTGCAAATAACAAATAACAAGATAAATGAGGTTTATTTGTAAATTTTAGAAATAAAAAATATTAATAATAAAATAGATATAAAGTTAATTTAGAATATTATTTTTTAGAGTAAAAAATAGAAATATACATATTCTATTTTAAAATAAAAAATGGAGATATACTTTAAGTTCTTGAACATCTGATGTTTCTCAGTAGATTTTGAGGAGAATGTAGCCATTCTAACGAGCGTTTGCTAAGATGTACTTTGCCACTTGTTTGTCTAGCTTTATGCCTTGTATTATCTCCACTCCAAAATCTCGAGATGCGATGACGAACATTCAGGAACAGAACTCAGATGGTTCCAACGATCCATGGGGTCATTGTAATGAGCACAATCTATCTGACATCCACAACGTCCGTGTTCAAGAAAGAAGACGAAAGTGTGTGCATGGTATGGAATCTGCAATTGAAGCGAGTTTTAAGGTTAGATCTTTTGACATTACTGAACTTAACCGAGTTCAGATGAACAAAAGTTTACGTTTGAAATCTTAGAACACAAAGAGAGATGTCTGACTGAGGTAATGGAACATTGGATCTTGCTTATGCAAACAGAACGAAATTCGTAAAAAAAAAATTTCAAGACCGTAATAAGAACAATTTTGTTTTAAAAAAAAATAATGAAAACAACCAAGTTACCATACATTACTATCGTCCATTTACCGATTAGCTTAAAACTGAGTTATACAACACATTGTACCGTTTCAAACGTCAATAGAAAGGGGAAACGACACCGTTTCTTAACCCTAACACACAAGAAAGGCGACTAATTACCAAACACTTCCTTGATTCTTAAGGTAACATAACAACAAATGGCCTTCAAATTCTCAGAGACAGCTACTACAGTTCCCAAGCTCATGAACAACAGCTTCCACAGAAGGTCTCTCGATTGGAGATTCGTGAGTGCATAGCCACGCGATTCTAGCTAGCTTCGTGGCTTCATATTCAAAGTACCTCCCCTGAAGATTTGGATCGATGTAATCTTGAAACCTACAAGCCTCAGTTCCAAGTTTAACAAGATTCCTAACCATCTGTTTCCCAGAGATGATCTGAAACACAAGAACCCCAAAAGCGTAGACATCTGATTTCTCGGTGAACCGTCCTGTTGTGGTGTACTCTGGAGCGAGATAGCCCATTGCTGCACTGTCTTTGACCGCAGAGAAGACAATGTCGTTCGTGAGAAGTGTGTGGAGGCCTGAGTTTGAGAGCAGAGGATTGTATCGCTGGTCGATCAAGACTTTCTCTGCTGAGATGTTTTGGTGAACCAAAGCCGGTTTGTTTCCTTTGTATGAATGTAGATAAGCAATCCCTAAAACACACACACACACATCAAAATCATAAACAAGAATCAAACAGAGCCAAATTAAGAACGCTGAGGCATAAAGAAACCATTACCCTTTGCGATGCCTTTGGCGATGGATACTCTTGTGGACCAATCAAGAACATGTGTATCGCCATCTTTGAGATCAAGATAGCTCAGTAGATTTCCATTGGGAGCGAAATCATGGATGAGAAAGCATTCTCCACGGCCTCTTGAACAGCAGAAACCTCTAAGTCTCGCCAAGTTTTCATGTTTCAGAGACGCCAACATGTTGAGACCTTTCAAGAACTCGGGCTCTTCGGATTTGCAGCTGGTTTTACTGAACCGTTTGATCGCAACAGCAGAACCGTCTCTCAAGATTCCTTTGTAAGTCGCAGAGAAGTTGCTTCTTCCGAGAAGATTCACTTCTGAGAAATACTGAGTAGCTGTTTCAACTTCTTCAAGATTGAATCTAAAGCTCTGGATAACTTCTTGCGCAAAGACACTGAGATTCCTATTGTCTGAAAGCGGATCCCAACCATTGGTATACTCAAGACTAGCCAAAGGAGAACCATTGTTCTTCCTGAAGCCTCCTCCAACAGTGTTGAGACGCGTGTCCGACATCTCATAAGCGGTTGTTAGCTTCTGTTTGCGTCTACGGTAATGTGTGAACAAGAGGATGCTAATGGCAGACAAAGCGATGGTAGAGACAACCAAACCGATCAAGATCGAGCCTTGGTGAGAATTCGAAGGAGCATTACTACAGTCAGTTCCATTGCAAGGTAACCGGAGATTAGCTGATTCCGGTATATCCCGGGATGGAAAACCGGTCACGGTCGCACTGTACGGCTTTGGTTCCTCAGGAGCTGTGCCATTGCAAGATCTCAAAGGCGTGAACTCAGCTCCACATAGCCCCAAGTTGTTCTCAAAAGAAAAACCTTCACTCAATCTCTTAAGCACTATTCAAATTAGCACAACGGAGAAAGAAAACGTAAACCACAATGAGTAACAACACTACACAAATACACAAAGCCCCATATAGTGTAAGCTTACTATTTCATAACAATGAGTGGAATCAGATTTATTACCACGAGGTACATTGCCAGAGAGAGAGTTGTTGCGGATATCGAGAACACGAAGCAGAGGAGGGGCAGCTAATTTACCAGGTACAGAGCCAAACAGGTGATTGTAGCTCAAATCTAGCCTCTCTAGAGCGTTTAAGTCCCCTAAACTCGCGGGTATAGCTCCTGTGAGTTTGTTAGATTGAAGAGCAAGAACACTCAGCTTCCTCAGTGAACCAAGCTCCCTTGGAATGCTTCCTGTCAAATTATTGTAACAGAGCTGCAAAACTACACAACAATGGAGACCAAAACAGAGGATAAAGATCAGCTTTAGCAAAACCAGAATCAGTTTCCACAACTTATTTTTGTATTACTTTTTAAATATTCATTGATTTAGAACTGAATTCTAGATTTAGCACAACCCATTAAAGCTTTTTTGAATCGATTATCTAAACGAACAAGATTGTTCAAGAGAAGTACAAGTGACTTAAATTCAAGTTTGTTGTATTCTTTTGGGAGCAGTATGCAATGAATGGTTCAAATTAAAAGTTTGCTTCAAGTAGCACAAAGTTCTTGACTATTCTTCCTGAGGAAACTTACAAAAAGAAAAATCCTAACAAAAGGACATGAAAATGACGTTTTGAAGACACATCATTAACGCATTAAATTCCAAAAAAAAATCAAATAATTTCAGAACATTTTCTACAACCAGAACTAGTGAAGTTACCAAATCTAAGGAGCTCAGATTTCTAGATTTCAAAATCTCCATTGAACCTTGAACAAATCTTGAAACAAGTAATTTGCAGAAACCAAGGACTAATGTGATTAATGATGATTTAATTAAATTAAAAAGGAAAAAAAAAAAAGCTAACCTTGCAAGCCTTCCATCTTCCCAATGTGAGAAGGAATCTCCCCAGAGAGATTATTAACATTGAGATAAAGATCCGTTAGCTCCGACAAATTACCGATTTCTCTAGGGATGTCTCCGACAAGAGCATTGTAATGCAAGAACAAACCCGTCAAGTGTTTAAGCTCTGCAATGGCCGGAGAGATTTTACCAGAGAGTCCTTTCCCTTGTAGAGATATGTTTGAGACTTGTCCTTTTAAATCACAACCAACGCCATCGAAATCCTTGCACAGATCTCCATTGATCCTCCATGAAGCAAGATGTTTGTTTTCTGGGTCTAGCTCCTTTTTAATGTCCATCAATGTCTGTAACTCGCTGGTGAGTTCTGCTCCGATTCGAGTGAAGAAAATGAAGAGAAGAGGAAGAAGAAGATGCAGCAGCATTTGTGTCGCCGCCATTTGTGTTGTACTAGGGTTTGTTTTTGAGCTTGAAAGAGCTTCAGAAGCTAAAGGAGATTTTAGATTTCTTACTAAAAATAATCTAACTTTCACTCTCTCTTCTCTTTCATCGCTGGCTTTTAAAAGCTCAGTTATTTAAGGGAGGAGAGAGAAAGATAAAGGACATAGAGATGTCGCATGCTTTGTCTATTCAGACAAAAAGATAATCGAAAGGAGTGTTGTGGTGTGTGTGTTCTCGTTTCAGAGGAACCTGAGATGAGTTTAAAGCTAATCGTTGGATTTTCTTGTAGTTAATCTGAACCGTTTGATTTCTTATGATTTATGTTTGTTGTTTTTAGTTATGGTAAGTTGGTTTGTATGTTATCTTTTCTCGTTGAGATTGGTCAAGTAGGATCACCCATTCTGAATTAAAACCATGCATGTTCTCTCTTTTTTGAGTTGATAATATAGTATATTTCAAATTCGATTTTGCTCATTATTATTTAATATTTACTATATTTCTAACTGAAAAAGTTATTTATTTCATTATAATTCACTATATTTCAATTGTGGTTATATTCAGGGGAAATATAACGTCAAAAATTATTTATTAAGTATCAAAAATAATTAATACTCCTAACCCCTAACCCCCATATCGATTAACGGATTTATTATGGAATTCGGATTCTATGGTTAAAATATTTTCCATGTAATATACGTTCCATCATGGACCTCATGGTCAATCATTATGAATGTGTTAAATTACAAAAATATCTGGTTCTTAACACACTTCGAAGGTTAAACTAAATTTCAGAAGTAAACATGTTCCAATTTTTATGTCTTTTCGTCTCTGTTGATGTATTTACATCGCTTATATATGATGCTTTTGTTCCCACTACACATAGTCTTTCATAAAAGTTTATCATCTTGTGTCATCCTCATGTGTTTTACGACATGCGATATCTAACTTTTTTAGATCGGTTGTTTCTGTATCTTCACGATTGGAAATGAAAATTTTGTTACGAGAGTGGTAAAACAACTGAAAAATTTCCTCTACAAAAGTAAAAGAAATAGATGTTTATTATTTGGAATCTAGTTACTGTCTACAGAATCTATCAAAAATAATATACGGTGCTCAAGGCAAAATGAAAAAGCAATATCCTTTTGGTTCTGTCTGTTATTACGATGGAGACACAAACAGAAGAACCAGACTGAGTTTTTACAGATTTAGCACAGCAACACGAACATACCTGATCTGCATACCATTTATCTTTCAAGATTTGGTCTTTAATTTCTTGAAGTGTTTAATTATCTTAATATTTATTTAGAATACTTACAAAAAAAAAAAAAAAAAAAACACTTTGAAAACCATATTCTAGTAATAACACTCGTAATAAACGCGTTCAAGCCATCTTAACATTGTTTGTACATTGGTTTGTACAAGATCTCACTGAATTTAAAGATTATATTATCCCCCTCTTTATTTCAACATCATACTTGGGCATTTTACCTATAATAGCTAGTATAATACTTTAGCTCTGCCATGAAGTGGTTAATAACCGTGACTGTATACAAAATGAGTTGACAATGAGATAGTAAAGGAAATTGATTCAAGATGTGATTATTTTACATTTCACTTAATAAATCTTAATGTGACTTAGCATATGATGATTAACGTACTGCAAATTATTAATGTTTTTGTTTGCTAGAATATATGAATACTAGGTAGTTGGCCCGCACATAATGTGCGGGCATGAAAATTTTATGAAAAATTAATTGTTAATAATATTTATCATTAATAATAAATAAGTGATTGGTTTGTTTTGATAAATTATTTGTAAGAAAATTTTGTTTGTAAAAAAAGTGTTTTAATAGATTTGAGAAATTGAGCCATAGTAAAAAATAAAAACATATACAAAATTTAAAATATTTTTTTAAAAATTGTAAAATAAAATAAAATGATTCTTTGGTATTCGTTGTTTTCTATTTTTTATTTATATTTATCATCTTTTTATAGTTTTTTCCGTCATTTTACGTCCTATTTCTGGTTTGTAATTCTCACTATATAATTGAAATACATTCACATATAATATAAATTTTTGATCTTTATTTATAGTGAGGCAAAATAAGATGATAATAAAAGTGAAGAAATTCTCCTTCTAAAAATCTGATGCCGCAAAATTTCACACAAACAATTGAACTTATAAATATTTTGCTAAAAACTTACTTAAAATGAGATTTCAAAAATTTCCATCAAAAAACAGATTTCACAAATTTCATGCCAAAAACATGAATATGTAACTTTCACACCCAAAAAATTACGTCAAAAATATGATCTAAAAACACTTTATCAAAATTTCGATTTTGTGAATTTTTCGCCAAAAAGTGAATTCATCAAAAAAAAATTCACCAAAAACTTTACTTTAAAAATGTGATTCCCAAAACTACTAGTCAAAATTTTGATTTCATGAATTTCCTGGTATATAAGTGAAACCGTAAATCTTCCGTCAAAAAATCTTATTTAAAAATATAATTTCAAAAAACTTCCGTGAAAATCTGATTTCAAAATTTTTTCGCCAAAAACATGAATTTGTAAATTTCCCACCAAAAATATTCATTTTAGAATATTTTAATTTGATTTCGTGAGATATCAAAAAGTTTCTGGCTAATTAGGTTGTCACAAATTTTCTGCTAAATATTTGAAATGCGTAAATTTTTCTAGCAAAATTTTTGTCTAAATGTAATTTTAAATCTATTTGATAAAAATATAATTTTTCCAAATACTTTAATTTTGTATCAAACTTTTAACATCAAATTTTATTAAATAATGTCATGTCACAAGCCATGTGTACTAAAAACTGACATGTCACAATTACATCATCATTACACATCATCATTTCCATGTCACATTAAAATTGCTCAAACTAAACATATTAACCAATTAAATTAAAACAAATCAGCATTTTTCATTAAACTACATTCTCAACTAATAGGTAGATGATTTGACCTATTATTATGCGTTATGATCTTTAGTAGTATATTTTATCCAGAAAAAAAATCTGTAGTATATTTGTTGCACTCGTGCTTTATATTTCTTATTATGTGTGCTCAATTACACTATTAGATTATCTACAATAGCAGTGCTAAAAGACGAATTCAACTATTAAATAGCTACAATGGAGGAGTTGAAAAAAGTGTTGAATCACATGTGGATTATTTGGTGTTGAATATATTCAATCGGTCACAAAAATAAGAAGAGAGACAGTGCCGCGTGTTCTGTTATCATTAGGTGTTAAATTTTTTGATTTTTTTTGTTTTCTTTATTTATGTTTGGATTTGGGATTCAGGATTAGGAGACGCGAGTAATTGCCATTGTTTCTTCTCACTCACTCTGCTCTTTGAGAGTGTTGTTCGCCGTTTTCCAGAGATTCTGCAGACAATGTTAGATTTGCCATGTCTATGGGGCGTTAGGGATGAAGTAGTGAGAGAAACTATTTTGCAACTTCTCATACTGTCTATAGTGATTCACAGACCCGGTTCTAGGCATGTATTTAAAGTGCATTTGCACAAAGTCCAATTGATTATTTTCAAATTTTAGGGCTTCTTTTGAAAAATTTAAGGGCTTCTTTTAACAAATTTAGTTTATTCTGCTTATAAATAGCACATAGTCCATTAAATTTATGGGCCGGACCTAGTGATTCACATCAGACATATCAAAAGGTATATTCTCAAGACTGGATTTATTGACCATGAATCATTCCATGTTGATTACGTTGGTGTTAGATCCATATGTATTATTGAGATTCTTTTGTGGTCCCAACATCTATTCAAGTTTGGTAGTGTTACATTGGTTCTGAGTTTTCGATATGTCGAGTTGCATGATGAAGATGACGATGATCAGAAGGATGATCATTCTAAGGAGAGAAAAGCAAAGTCAAAGTTTATGAAAATGTTTTGGATACAGAAGTGTTTGGTACCAAAATCTACTTTTCAGAATTATGTTTTAGGTGCATCAGATTTCAAGATGCGGTTTGCAAAAAAAAAGAATTCAGCCATCAGATGCTGCAAACAAATCATTTCAGAGAAAGATCAAATATGAAGTTGGACAATAATGGATTATCTGATCTATTAGCGAGTAAGACTACTCTTCGGAAAGCATCGCCAAACTTGCTTTTGCTGTATTTTTCTCAGTGTAAAATAATCTGTGTTATACTAATTCTGTATAATATCTTTATAATAAGTCTTTAAAGTTAAAAAAAAAAAATCATAATAACTAATGTAAACTTTTATTTTTAATACCAAAGCATAAAAATATATATGAAATGAAAATAGGGTAGAGGGGGTAGGGTGTTGAATCATTTATTTATACTAAATGAAATGAGAAGTTTGAAGCTCCTAAAGCCATCCACATCAGATTTTTATAACTACTTTCTCTTTTTGCAGCATCAGCAAGAAAGCATTAATAAAAAATTTACTTTAGATTTTTTTTAAATACACATAAAATAAATAAATAGAACCACTAAAACTAATATAGTTATTAACAAAAACTAAATAAAACTAAAATATCATTTTTGAATCAGTAAAATAAATATTATTTTAATCTATAGCATTAATATATACTCTTTTTATTTCTAGTATAATGAGTATTTTGAAAAATAAATTGCTCATAAATAATTTAAATAATAGTTAATAGATAGAAGGTTACAAAATAGTAATTTCTAAAAAAAATTAAAACATTCACAATTTAGAAAATTCTAAAATGTTCATCTTTTAGAAACATAAAAATTATATACATAACAAGTAAATAAATAAAAATTTAAAATTAACACAACTGTATTTCACATATGTGGATACAAAATTGTTTTCTTTAATCTAGCCACATCACCAAAATGAGATTCTTTACCATGATGCCACGTTAGATTCAAATCATCAAGATGATATTAATTTTTATAAAAAATTAATTTATTTCATTCCACTAAACCACTTAATTTGCAGAAAATTATAAATTAATCCAATCCGCCAAACCCAAATTCTCACTAATAACCAAATCACGCTTTAAACCCAATAAATAATTATATAAAAAACAAAAATAATAACTCTTTTTCCCAACCTTTCTATCGCCGTAACAGTGGCGATTACAATTCCTCCCTCTCAAATAATTTTACTCGACCCCTATCCATTGATTGCGTCCACATAAGACGAAAAAACTCTATCTGGTTAGTTAACATTATCTTTTT